TCACATTGTGGATAACATCTACTTTCAGTTTGCTGAGATTTAAAAGCAGTTTGATCCTCTGTTGGAGGTTTCTCTGGGTCTTTCAGGGTCCAAAGAGTCTCCCCAGGCCCCAGGGAGGTCCCCTCTGCCCATGGCAGGTGCACACTGCTGGGTGTTATGTACCTGCTGGGGCACGTTTCTTTTGGCCCAGACTCCAGATGGGGCACTTGCCACCTGCATGGGCCTGTGGGGCGTGCCTGGGTCTCGCCCCTCCCTCCTCATCTGTGACCTCCAAGGTGCAGGATGAGGAACAGATTTCCTACCTACAGGGCGTTATCAGGAAAACACCGATGAAATCAACAAACACAGTATTGGGCTGGTACAGAGCCCGAAACTCACAGGATGGGCAGACTGAGTGACACACATAGGTCAACAAAATAACTCAGCTGTGGAGAGACAGATCAGAGGTCCCGGCTAGCTGTTTCGAGTCCTGTTTCTGTTCTCCAGTGACTGTCTTCTGTGTGTTAAAATGAGAGACATGGACAGAGTCCTTCCTCCCAAACACAACCAGCTTCCCCACGTTGGAGAAGGTGTTTTATCCAGGAACTGGGCCAAGTGTTTCCAAACAGAATCACACTGAATGCGTGTGACCACCTCTGAGTTGGGTTTTCTTGGCCCATTTTATAGATGAGGTAATGGAGGCTCAGGAAAATCATCTCACCAGACAGCACAACTACAAGTGACAAAATCAAGTATAAATAAACCTAGACAATCTGATTGTGATTCTGCTGGGTCACATGGGCCCCACTAAAGAAGAGACTTGTTCCTTATTGAGCAGTAAGACCAGGACCCCACTGTGCAAGGTGCTTAACAAATTCTGTTGATTGAAAAGGAGGGATTCTGAAAGCAACTGGAGTAATGTTACTCTGTTTCCTAGAAGTTCCTTGACTTTTCTTCAGTTTTTTTTAAAATTCCCTTAGGTTTGCCAGTAACCTTCAATATTCACGAACTATTGTTAATAATAGAGTGGAGTGGGGAGAAGGTTTTTTTCTTTCCTAGTTTTTAAGTCAAAACATGTGAGTTGATTGTATCAGTGAACTGGCTTAAATAGCTAGCACATTTAGTTAACTTAATAAAGTATAATAATGTGTGACAAATTCTTCTGAAAACATCAGTCAATCTTATATCCAAGGAAAAAGAGAATTTCTTCTAATTACAATATTTGACCTAAGTTCATTTCCAAAATAGGGGTTTGATTTCACCTTGGCTGTCAGTCTTAAATTTTGGGGTATTTTTTAAGATTACTACCCTTAATATATGTTCACTTTCTATTGTAATTTGTTATCCCTTTGTTAATATTGTTTAAATTGTTTCTTTTTCTGTTTTGTCTGTTTACTTTTCCATATCAAAGTAATCCCAAATTGCTGCTTACTATTTATTGTATCTACTTCTTTGTCATACCAAAAGGTTTAACTAAGCATTCTAGATGGGTGTGGAGAAGAAAGAGACCAGGAAGACCTTAAACATTTTCACCTTATAGCTGTTTTTCTTTTGGTACTACCAGCAACAGCTTCTCAAACTCGTACTTCTAAGGAATGCCACAGAAACAATAAGTGCTTATTGTTATGCTTCTAGAATGATCATTTGAGAAAACTTTTCTGTTTCAAATTCTTAACATTTGTTGCAAGATGAATAATAACTTTTCCCCCAATCTTTAAGAGGAAATTTTTGGGACTTGCAAGGCTGAGGCAGGAGGATCACTAAATTTGCAGACAGCCTGAACAATAGAGATCCTGTAGAAAAATTATAAGGGTTTGTATATATACACATGTATATATAAAAATATTCTAGACCACCCCATCCCTCACAATATTCCTGCCCTGCCCAAATGCTCTCCAAGTAATAGAAAATGTGACTTGCACTGTGCTTGCTTCTGCATTCCTTTGTGCCTTGTCTCTTTCTTCTTTGTGTTTTATCTCTTTCCTCTTTCTTTGCAACTTTCTGTATCTTCCCAGCAATTTAGAGTATTTGTTATATGACAGGCTGTTTCTCTCATACAGAGCCTTCCACAAGTCAAGTTTGCTGGTGGCTATTTCTTTAACCAATTTTCTTTCTCTTTTCTTTGATCTGAAATCTCCACCTGATTTTGACCTGAGGAGACCTCTGATTTATCCTTTAAGTTGAGCACTGGCAGAAGAGAAGGGAATGTTCTTCATTTATTTGTTGTGTTCAGATCCAGGGTCTTTTAGGAGACGAGTTCACTTTTCCTCCGCTTGTTGCCAGTTTTAGAACTTTATCCAGCTAGATCAAGTGCTGCTACGTTAGAGGGATTTCGGTAGCAAGGGCAGATGTAGATCTAAATCACAACAGTAATGCCAGGGGCGGTGGTGCATGCCTGTAACCCCAGCACTCTGGGAGGCTCACACTGGAGGGTCACAAGTTCCAGCCCCTTGAGCTTCCAGTCTCAAAATAAGCCTCGGGATGTATCTTAGTGCAAAGGCCTTGGGTTCAATTCCCAGTACTTCCTCTCTACACACACACATGCAAAGAAATCACAATGATAACAATATGAAATATTAAAGAACTTCCCCAAATTCGAGACGGGAAATCTAACTCTTGAGAAAATAGATCAATTTATGTTCATTTTATATAAACACTCATTATTTTGGGTAATAAATACAGACAAGTACCAATATAATAATATGTACAGATCCACAGTGAAGCAGACATTGCTACTACTGGGTCCATATTTGCTTCACCTTATTTTTATTAATAAAAAATGACACTCATGGTGATGCTGACATATTCTGTCCCACTTCTCATACATTGTCACCCTCCCCAGAGGTAACCAGTGTCAGAGTATGGTTTGGGTTTTTCTAGTCCAGCCTTATACTGGCACAAACCTGAAATCATATTTTGCATAAACTTTTAAGATTTCAGGTGGGGAAACAAATGGCTGTGTCTTTGAAACCTAAGAAGCCTGTAACTTCTTTTGTGAATCCAGGTGTCATCTGATTATTCCAAATTCTCTATTTAGAGTTAAAACTCTTCACCTTTTAAGTGGGGTCTTTGCCTGGTGGAGCCTGGTTTCTCCCAGCACCAGGGCGAGTGGAATGGAGCCAAAGTACTAGTATTTCCTATTTGTAAGTGATAAGAGGGGGAGGTGGCGGCTTTCAGAGATCAGGTTTCAAGTGGAGCCCTGGTTTTTATGTGTGTGGGAATGGCCGCAAAGGAAAACACAGCTGAGCTGCCTTCTGACTCTTCCTGTGAAACCTGTTCCTGCAGCCCGTGAGTAGACCTGGGTAAAAAGGTTTCCCTAAAACAGCCTGGGGTGAAATTCATGTCTGGATTCTAAGTAACTTGCTTCCCCCGGGAAGAATAGTTGGGAGTCCCTCCTCCCCCACCTCCACTTGAGAAAAGTCTGTCTTCTGGGAGAATCTATCAGTGAGAACTTTGCTCTCTTCTCCTGCCTGAGAAGAAGGAGTAGACCGGGGAGGTGTCACCCGCCAGAGTTGCTGATGTCAGTGGCGTATCAGCCGTGGGAGGCTTGGTTTGTGAAATTGAGTTACACCTAAGTGTCTTATGAAACTCGGTTCAGAGCACACCAGAGCTGCTGTCCGCGAGAGGGGGAGGTGGAGAAAACCCTGAGATTTCCCCCTCCCATTTCTGTTCCATGCTTGGAATTTCTGGATTTAAAGAAGTGAAAGCCTCAAATCTACAGACATTGTAGAAAATCGGTATGTAGCCTTATACTTTCACTAATTGCTCTTTGAACTGGGTGAGGGTTATAGTTCAGACACCTACATGCTTGAACCACGGACGGATGTGTTCTCAGTGTCTGCTGATTTGTTTTACTCAGCTTGGACTCTTGGGTCATCAGGGGTCCGGTGTGAGCGCTTTTGTCCCATGGCTGGATCTGTCTACACAGGAACCTTCAGCTTACCCTGTTCTTTTCCGTGAGCTTTGCGTGTCTGTGGGAAGTCTTGGTTCCTGTCCTTCAGGAAATGCTTTTGCCGATTGTACACTGCCAAGGAGTTCTTAGTATTTAGACAATTTAACAGTGTCCGTTTAAGATTCTTTGAACATTATTTAAAGATCCAACCTGAGACTTAAAATGAAATGAAACTGCTCTGCTGACCTTTTTCCCTAATCATCAAAACTGGGGACACAGAGGAGACACTGACTACAAAGTCCACACTGAGAGCTTTGTAAACCTCAGGCCAGTACGAGGTCGTAGTATAAAGATTTGGTAAATTACAGCAAAGCAGGCTTAGTTCTGTGAATGGGCTTCTTTTACCAAATTATTTGCCTTTCAAATGCACATTTCTGGCAGCAAAGTTTGTTTCTCCCAATCAAATGATAATCTACATTGAGTCTAGCAGCAGAGTATCAGCAGCGGGAATACAGAGGTTCAGGTCTCTACACAAACTGGAGGCTTTCACTTGGAAACCTAGAGAGTAGCTCAAGTGTGAATTCACCCCATGCTCTCTCACACACCCCCTCCCCCCAGTTCCTGGTGCTTGACTTCTATGACATTTAGGGGAATTTTGCTAGGTGAGAAACTACTGTCTCGCATATTCACCTCTGCGTGGGGGAGGTCTCTTTTACTTTCACTTTGCATTCGTTTGAAATTTAATCTCTGATCTTACTGCAACATCCTTTTGAGTATTTTCCATTTAAACGCGAAATCAACATCTTTGAGCAGAACGCTTGTGCTTACTGGAATCTATGCAGATTTCCTTATTATACAGTTGAGTCAGAGGAAATATTGTATGCATGTGATGCTTCATTTCATTGTTCAAGGAAGATTTATTGGTGAAGTTGTTGTTAAAGATTACTGTCAGCAGAAGGAATAAAATGGTTTCAGGTTATAGTTGATTTGTAAAAAGATGAATCATGTTTTGGGCTTAACCTTATCCCTCGTGGGAACTTAAAATCATTTGATTATTAAGCTGATTTATAGACAGTAGAAATAATAGTCATTAAACCTATATGGTTTTCTCATTTCTTTAATGTTTTAGTTATTCCAATGGAAGCAGCTGGAGAATTTATATTTTCGTGAGAAAAAATTTGCTGTTGAGGTTCATGATCCACGAAGGTAAGGATCAGAGATTTTTGCGTGGTCTCAGTCACCCTACTAATAATGCTGCTATAAACATTTGAATGTGAGTTTTTGTGTGAATATTTGCTTTCATTTCTCTTGGGTCTATACCAAACCTAGAAGTGGAATTTCAGAGCTGAACAGTAGCTCTGTCTTTAACTTTTAAGGGAACTGCCAGACTTTTCCAAAACTCTAAGTGACATTTCTGCCAGCAATATATGTGGTTCTAAGTCCCCACATCGTAATACTTGCTGTCTTTAGAGTGTGTGCGTGTGTGTGTGTGTGTGTGTGTGTGTGTGTGTGTGTGTGTGTTCATGCATGTTTTATAGCCATCCTAGTGATGTGAAGTGGTTTCCTCCTGGTTTTTTGATTTTCATCTCCCTCAAGACTAATGATGACCAAGCCTCTTTTTGTGGGTTTATTGTCCATTGTTTTAAGTTCTTTAGAGAAGTATCTATTTAGATCTTCACTCTTTATGTTTTCTTGGTCTTTTCTCTTTTCTTTCTTCCTTTCTTTCTTTCTTTATCCTGGTACTGGGGATTGAACCCCAGCAGTACCTCTACCCCATCCATTTTATGCGACAGGGTCGAAGTGGCCCAGGTTGGCCTTGAACTTGTGACTTCCCTACCTCACCCTCCCACAGTGCTGGGACTGTAGACCTGCACCACCACAGTGGGCTCCTTTGCTCAATTTTAATTTTAGTGTTCTTGGTTATTTAAAAAGGCAATAAAACAGTTGCCAGGTTATCAACACGACTCTGAATACAGGATGTAAGATCTCCAAGCTTTTAAAAGAACTTAATCATTCCCCAGATGTTTGGAGGGCAGGGCAGAGGGATGGGAGGAAACAGCTGTGACAAAAGATGACCAAAGGAGGTAAGCCAGATTCTTACAAAGAACATTAGTACCCTCACTGTATCTTACAAACATACACACATGTATATGCATACACATGCACACACACACACTCCACAGGTGCCTGCATCCATTGACTGCCCCCTCGTCCGTTCTGTCTTGCTCTTCTGGCTTCTTCCTTCCCCCACACTTTCTCTCCTCCTCTTTTCTGGTGCAAAGGTAACCCTCTGGACCACTTGGAGGTTTGCGTCTTTTCAGCCATTATCATTGTGTTCATCCTGGATAATGTCAGTGCAGGCCACATCTACTTAGACTTGAAATGCTCTTTATTTCGAAGCGGGTGCTCATCCCTTGGGTCCTGGTCACTCCATTTTTAAAATATCACCTTTATTCTCTTCTAATTAAGGTGCTCACACACTTCCGTGGTTTCTAACTAGTAAATGGTTTTATACAGCTCTTTGCTTGCCTAATTCTTTATCTGCTTTTGAGTGCATGTTTTTAATGTGCTAGTTGGTACAGAAAGAGATTGCGTAGGTCTGAGTAGTTTCATCATAAAAGAATAAAATCAGAAATTAGCCCCCGTCAGCCTAAACATGTACAACAGGAAGGCAGGGAAAGGGTGCTTTGTTACCACATTGCTCATGAGTACATTTTGTGTCGGGCTGGGCAGAGGCAAGGAATGTGAGTATTTTCCATAATCTTTCAGGATTTCAGTGTCTAGAAGAACCTTTGGGCAAAGTGGACTCTTTGTGCAAACCTGGTATGCAAACTCTTCTCTCATCAAGTCCATCTGGGTAATGGCCATTAGCCAACACCAGTTTTACCTGGACCGAAAGCAGAGCAAAGTAAGTCCTTGGAAGCATTTCCACCCCAGCAAACGCTGGGCCATCTTTTGCTTTATTTTTTAGAAGATAAGCTTTTTCAGAAAACACACAAGCACATAGATTTTTGTTCTTTGAGTTTTTTTTTAACTTTATACCAACTGTTTTACTTTTTCATGCATTTAAAAGATAGCCAATGTATATATAGCTGATTTAAAAGTTATAAGATTGGCATGCATATGTATGTACATGAGTGACATTTTAAAGTTAGGGACTAAATTGTGCCATGAGAGTTTTGTTTAATTATGAAAACATTTTAGGTACAAAGTTTAAATCTCATGGCTTTTTTTTTTCTGGAGTGTCAGTTGAATATTAATCGTGTCATTAATGTAAAGTGTGTTTAACTGCATTGATTTCATTTCAATATTGTTTGCATCACAGGCAAAAATTCCTTCTGCCAGAAGTTTAGACGATATTGCAATGGACCTAACAGAGACAGGAGTGCAGAGGGTGTCTAAACTGGTGACGCTGGAGGCCAAAAGTCAGTTCATTATGGCCAGCAACGGCAGCTTAATATCCTCAGGTAACATCATAACATCACGAAAAAGTTCAAACCATTTTTTTTCATTGTAAGTCATTTTAAACTTATATTTTAACCTATTATTCTGAGAATTAAAAGTTTACCAAAACCTACTATATGCACCCGTTTTTAATACAATATTAAAGAATATAAAGAAAGTTAAAGTATAAATAGTCAGGCTGTCTAAGCAACATTAGATGTAAAGATAGGGAGTACCTAATGGTGACTTGGATATTTTCTTCCCTTAAATCCTGTCACCTTGGGGCTGGGGATTTAGCTCAGCGGCATAAGCACCTGCCTTGCAAGCAGGCAGTCGTGAGTTCAATCCCTGGTACTGATAAAAAGGAAAAAGACAAAAAAAAAAAAAAAAAAAAAAAAAAAATCCTGTCACCTTCTTCTTTGAATAGTTTTTCCTGACTAATTATCCATATGATATGAAATGCTATACAAACATGACTACAAGACCCGCATCTCAAAATGTAACTGCTGCTCCTCAGCTCTTCTAGAAATTCAGAATTTATGAGAAATTTCATGGTGTGTCCCATCTAAATCTCACTGTTGCTTTGGAAACACGAAGCGTGAGCTTCTCTCTTTGTGTGGAGCATTCTCTGGCCTTGCCTGCTTTCCTACCCAAATGACTGTCTCAGGGAATGTCTTCCTTTCCCTTCTGCTTACAAAAAGGATGCTTGTCCTTGGGTGAAGCATTTTATCCTCACTTCCAACGTGGCTGAGCCAAAATGCCCAAGGAAGGTCCATTTTCCTACCAGCCTCTATTTGATGCCCAGAAGCATGAGAAAATATTCTCCAGTTTCCTTTTATTATTTCAAAAACAAGGAGAAAAGAGGCAAACTCGCATTTAATAGCACATTTAGCTTCCCGGTCCTTTGTCCATCCCAAAGGAAGGAAACATGCTTTGCGTAAACCTCCCACCCCTCCCCCACGGCAGGTTCTCAAGACTCAGAAGTCAGTGAAGAGCAGAAGCGGGAGAAAATCCTGGAGCTCAAGAAGAAGGAGAAAGTGTTACAAGAAAAACTCTTAAAAAAAGTTGAGGAGCTGAAGAAGATCTGTTTGCGTGAGGCTGTGAGTGTCCTCGATTCTGGGGTTCTTCAGCTTGTGTTGGACAGCTGTGGCCTGGGTCAGTTGTGAGCTCTTGACCCTGTCCTGTTTTACAGGAGCTCACAGGCAAAATGCCAAAGGAATATCCGCTGAATGTCGGCGAGAAGCCGCCTCAGGTCAGGAGGCGCGTGGGGACCGCGTTCAAGTTAGATGACAACTTGTTGCCAAGTGAAGAGGTATGAGCACCAGCACTGAGCCTTTCTGTGAACCACGAGACAGAAACTGTACTCCCCAAATCACAGAGGGCCTTAAAGGAACCCTAAATGTTTATAAGCTGAGCAACAGTATTGTAAGAATTAAGAACATCAGCCTAAGTTAAGAACATTCCTTTACTTATAACTCAAGTAGCTTTTTGTAAATAGCTTAATCTCTCTAAAGTCTCATTTATGAGGTTTCAGTTTTTCCATCTGTAAAATGGAAATAAGGGTATAACTTTCCTACAAGGAATGTGATGAATATTAAATGCTATAATACATGATAACTTAGTTAAAAATTTTGACAATCGGCCAATGCACGCTTATACATGGTTCTTGTACAAATGTTGTTATAGAAAACAAAAGCTGTGTCTTCCAGTAATAGAGTGAGCTTTGTAATGTTGAGTGCTCCCCTGTGTACCTAGATGTGTGCTGTGCAATACGCAATATCAGGTCATCTTCAGCACCTGTTATAAGATGGGTACTATCTTCCTTTTACAAATAAAAAAACTGCAGCATTAAAAAAATTCACTAGTAATCAGTGTCATGTAACCATGAACTACTAGAAAAAGAATCAAACCCAGATTTATCTCTCTAATGCTGTGCTTATCAATATAGCGTCCTGTGCCCATCAGTCTTAAGAATCTGTCCTTGGAAACTATGATCTGCAGCCAGGGAACTGCATGAATGAAAAATCATTTTCTTCTTTAAGAAAGGAAGAGATTGGGGTAATGAAAAGTTCAAGCTAAGATGGGTAAAGAGTATCTAATCTTCTTGAAAAGTGTTTGAGATATCCCTGCATTAGAACTTAGACTTTATTCTAAAGAGCATCCAATTCAAGAATACACAAGAAATTTTGTTATTCAATACTTGAGAGAGTGATTGTAAAACAATATCATTGTAAAAATGCAGGATCCAGCTTTACAAGAACTGGAGAGCAATTTTCTAATACAGCAAAAACTGGTTGAAGCTGCAAAGAAACTTGCCAATGAGCCAGACCTTTGCAAAACTGTGAAGAAGAAACGAAAGCAAGATTACATAGATGCGGTGAGAAAGCTCCAGGACATTGAAAATGCAATAAATGAATACCGAATTCGATGTGGAAAGAAACCCAGCCAGAAAGCAACAGGTATTTTACCAAGTTAGAAAAAAGTTACGATTTTTGTGAGTCCTATTGTCAGTACTCTTGATGACAGCATGTACTATTTCTAAGCCTGCTCATTTGATGAAAGATAGAAGAAAGCTAAGGATAAAAAGTGAGTCTCTTAGGATAATAATGGCTTGGAATTTCAGTCTTGTAAGTATGTAAACTTAATTATCAGTTTCACTGTTGTAATACTACACTGTTGGTTTACTCTAATTTTCTGGATGACGCACTTTCACTATCATAGTTCATAATAAGACAGATTCACTTTTAGTTGGGTTGAAGTCATTGCCAAAAATAGTATCAGCGCAACATATTGAGAGAGCTGAGCCTGCTCCCATAGTTCATGAAGGTTTTTTGTTTTTGTTTTTGTTTTTTTTTGGTACCGGGGATCGAACTCATGCACACTGTGGCAAAGCAGGTGCTTATGCCACTGAGCTTAATCTCCAGCCCCTTGTAAAGGTTTTTAATGCAGCAGAACGTGCATTTTCATAAGGGCTTATCCCTCTGTAGACAAAGAAGGCTAAAGACTTATCCTTCCATGTGGATAGGGATAAGCTCAAAATTACTGTCATTTAAGGAAGCTGTTTAAAGACATGGATAGAAATATTATAGAGAGCTAAGTTAGGTAGCAATATAGTAGATAGTCAAACAGGACTGTGCTCTCTAGATTGTCAGTGCAGGAGGTAAAAATGCATCAGCACTGTGGCTGGAGGTGCATTTCAAGATTAAAGTCACAATGGCTAGTTTTACATACTTTCCTAAGGAATGATCGGAGACCTAGGATTAATGGTATCACCCTTTTGAGATTTCCCATTATCTCATTAGAGGTGGGTTATCCTGACCTACTATGACTAAGGCTAAGACTAAAACTAAGACTTCTAAAGACTAAAGAAAATTTACCATTGATTATTGACCAAGGTTAATGATGTCATTCATGTACCCTTGCTACCATTAGATCAATATTACCTAAGGGACTATCCTTGCAGTCTTATTGATCATAATAATTGACCCATGTTGTACTTGCCTCGTGATTTTGCTCTATAAAACTTTCTTTGAGAGGTGGGCTCATTAGCAACCCATTTGGAACTCTTCCTGTCTCTCAAGAGGTGTTCCTGTTCCCTAGTACCCCACTTCTATTCCATATTCCTTTTCTCCAATAGATTTTCCTACTCTTAAAAAAATCAGGAAATGATCATGATATAACATGGCCTGTGGAAAGGTGAAATACAGCATCAGAACCACAGTGCGATCCAACTTTGAGAAATATTTCAAACCCTAATAGCTGTCATTTAAGTAACTTAATTTGCTTAATACCCCTCTGTATTTTCAGATTCTCAATATCATGTAACCATAATTTTTATATCTGGCAAAAAAGGAAGCCAAGAGACCTCATTTAGGGAGAATTTAAGTGCAGCTTGGCTTAGCTGTATATTGACATGGTTTTCGGCCCTTGTTGTTGATTAAAATATGGTTACATTCTTTGATTTCAAGATTTCATTTTTTGTTCACATTTTAACATTTATGAAATTGAGATAATTCTCATACAGGGTGGTGTGTTACAATCGTAATTGGCAGTCCTTTTTCTACTGCAGCATAAAATAATTACACATCTTAGATTTGATGAAATATGGTAACTAGGCTTAAAATACACTCAGGTTTAGGACATAGGATCTGCAGTTCAGTGATACAGCTTTTGGAAAAAGAATGTACAGACATCAACACACAAGTGTTAGTCAACTACAGCTGGAGAATTTTGGGTGGCTTTGGCTCTAAATGTGCAGCCCAGCTGGCCTTGGCAACGGTTATATTCTCAGCCTACAGAGATGAGTGATTAACAGCAAACTTAACGTTCATGGCCATTTGTTGTAGCTCATTCATCCTCAAACCGCGCAAGATTCTAGTGCGCTCCTTTTCAGTGACTGACATTTGGATAGCAGATGGTGTCAATGTGCAAGCAGATATTGGATAGATTTTTTAAGCGTGCCCAACAGCTGACTACACTGGCATCTCGCCTTCAGCCTCCACTGTGTGTCTAATGAAGAGATGGTTCACCCAGCCCTGCTACAGATTAACATGTGCCTTCATGCTGGCTAGGCAGCTTACACTGGGTGTCATGTTTGCCTGCAACCTTTGGCCAATACTGAGTATAGAATGATGTGTGAAAACCTATCAACACATCTGAGATGCCCTTTTTTACTAAATACTGTGTATTATTTAACATTTAATGGGAACCAGTAATACCCAGAGCATTATGAATGTCATTTCTAACCAGAGCAGTAAGTATCGCTCACAGAAGTAAGGGTATTAGTAATATTTATTGAGTATTTGTCATGTGCCAGCAGCTGGGCCAGGCTCTTCACATCATTATTTCATTTAATGATTCACCTCAGCACTCTCTGATAGGTGCTGTTGTAATCCCCATTTTGAAGCTGAGCCAAATGATGCTTAAGTGAAGAAATTTGCACTCACAGCCAATACATGGCAAAAACAAGGGCCTGCACTCCCCACCCCAACACTTTCTGCAGATCTGAGCCCTCACACGTGCTAGGCAAATGCTTTACCACTGAGTTACATTTCTGGCCTTTTTTGTTATTTATTTTGAGTCAAGGTGTCACTAAGTTGCCCAGGCTGCATTTGAACTTGTAATCCTCTTGCTTCAGCCTCCTAAGTAGCTGGGACTAGAGGTGTGCCTGGCTAAAACCAATGTTTAAACCCAGGTCTTCCTCTTCTGTGGTTCTTAACTAGGGGCAGTCTTGTTGTCCAGAAATATCTGACAATATTTACAGGCATTTTCGATTGTAAAAACTGAGGATGGGGTTACTACTGATCCTACAGTGCATAAGACAGCTGTCCAGCGCAGAGAATTACCCATTCCCAAGGGCCAGTGGTGCCACCACTGAAAAAGCCTGGTCTCACTGGAAGGCTCAGACAGCACAAAATGAGTACCTGCTATTAACTTCAGGCTCTTTTCTCTCTGAGGGATCAAAAATAAGCAAGCGGTACTCACAGTTGATTCTCAAATGAGGCTCCAAGTGAGTTTCATGTAGCATTTCATGTTTACGACAAAAATGGCATCATTTTTCATTCCAGTAGGTTGGCTGTAAGTTAAAAACATAGAGGGCAAAGTTTTCTTTCAGTGTAAAGGACACATTGCAAAGCTTTTTAGAACCCGAACTCCCAGACTACCTCTTCCATTTTGTTACGATTCACTATCTATTTCTCTTTCTTTGTTTTTTTTTTTTTTTTTTTTGTTTGTTTGTTTTTTTTTTGGTACTGGGGATCATGACCTTAGGCTTGCCAGGAAGCACTTATGCCACTGTGCCAAATCCCTGGCCCTATCTCTTCCATTTTAAGGACACAGTCAGCGCCCATTATCCTTGCCTTTCACATCGACACATTTAACCAACCTCAGATGGAAGATATTCGGGGGTTTGCCTCATCAGACTTTTTTTTCTATTGTTCCCTAAATACCCAACGTAACAACTAGTCAGACACCATTTACATCGTAGTGGATGTTACAAGTAATCCTGAAATATTTAAAGTAGACAGGAATGTGCAAACATGACGCAATTTCATATAAGGGACTTGAGCATCCCTGGAGGGGTCCTGGAGCCAACCTGACACAGGGGCTGAGGGAGCACTGTGATCCATGGTAATGTGTGTACAATATGTAAGTACACACATATGTAAGTACTCAGCAGTAAATGAGTCAATCCTTGCAACAGTTTATTATTCTTAATGTACTGTAATTAATTATACTTATCTAAATGAAAATAAAATGCACCCCACTGAAAATTGCTTCACTGAGCTCACACCAGTGATGTAAATGCACATTGATACTTTTTATTCACAGAAGACATCATCCCATCAGAGAGCAGCTCCTTGTCTGACACCACCTATGATGATCGTAAGTGCTAACTTCTCTTTTGATTTAAATATTTTAAGTATTCTGAAATACTAAGATAATATTTGAGTACAGCCTACTTGGTTTTATTTTGGAAAAAGCAGAATAAACTAACATGTAATAAAATAACTTACGCAAAATATTTAGGAAAGGAGATGTATAATTTACCATCAACTCCATTTAACTCAGTGTTAAGAACAGGACCATCCAAATCACATTACTTCAGGGAATGAGAAAACCACAGCATCAGTAAGCCTCCCTGAGAATTTTAAGGCTCTGTAATTGTGTGTGTGTGTGTGTGTGTGTGTGTGTGTGTGTGTGTGTGTGTAACTGGGCACTGGGTCTTCTTACAGAGCTACATCTGCAGACCTTTTTTTTTTTTTGAGACAGGTACTAAATTGCTTAGACTGGGCTTGAACTTGTGATCCTCTTGACTCAGCCTCCCACAGCACTGGGATTGCAGGCATATGCCATCATGTTTAGCTTTTTTTTTTTAAAAAAAATCTTCTTAAACTAATTATAAACTCGCAGAGAACTGTACTAATAACACAGAATCCTTCACTTTTCCAGTGGTGATATTTTACATATTTGGAGTCTAGTATCAAAACCAGGAAACTATTCTCTAGATTTAGATTATCACTGTTTTCAGGAGAGCGTGGAATTTATTTTATTTTCTGTCAAAAGAAAGTCACATTCTATAAATTGGGTTACATGGCATCTTGTCATTTTACACAGGTAGATTCCATTTCGTGTGGGAACTGGTTTCATTATCAAGTGACTCAGTATTTCTTTGTAGTCTTTGATGCTTAGCTGAGTTGGTGAACTATGTGATGCGATTCAAAGAATTCCAGGAAGCTGCCACCTCCCAGCCCCCCACCCCTGCTTTACCTTCCCCTGAGTTTTATGGTGCATAAAATTCTGCCGTTTCAGAATTCTTCCTGTGGGCAGAGGCTTGGTCATGCTTGGCACTCTCTTTGAAAATGCAAATATCCGTGGTAGAATTAACAAGTACAGGATGATGCAGCATAAATCAGCTGCTTCACTCTTGGTGACAGGATGAGGCTGTAGCACACAAACCTAAGGACAGAAATGACCTGCCTTTTTGCTCTTGGCCTTTGGCATTTTAGGGATTTTTGTTAATTAACATTTAAAAGATGGTCTCTCTCTCTCTCTCTCTCTCTCTCTCTCTCTCTCTCTCTCTCTCTCTCACACACACACACACACACACACACCCCTCCGTAAGTCCCTTCCTATTGAATTGACAAAAGTCACTTCTAACAGGGAAGAGTATTCAGTAATGTCTTTATCTAGAGTATAAAATGTAAAAAGTAATTTCTGGAAAGCTATGTGTGTCTGAAAACATTGTCTTTGGAAGAACACATTATCAAATCTTCCAGTTTCTTTTTTTGAGATATTGGTAAGGCATTAATTTACTTATTTATGTATCCATCCATTTGTTTACTTTTTTCAGCCAATGATGCCTTCAGTCCTGCTGGGCAGCGACCTAGTTCAGTACCCCATTCTCCAAGAATTCTTCCCCCCAAGTCTCTGGGTATTGAGCGAATTCATTTCAGAAAGTCGTCCATCAGTGAACAGCTTGGGGACACCAGGCAGTCCAGGTGAGATGCATCTTGCTTTGTTTTTTTTTTTTTTGTTTTTTTTTTTGTTGTTGTTTTTTTTGTACTAGGGATCGAATTCATGACCTGGTGCTTGCAAGTGAGATGTATCTTAATAAGGTGAGTGCCTCACAGTGAGCAAATCTTCCCTCCCAAATGATGACAGACGTGTTTTTATTCTTTCAAAAGATATTCTTTCATAAAACTGAGGCATAGGAACTGACCCAGAGATTTGTTGTTGACAGCAAGTGGAAATATTAAAAGGTCTTTTTTTTTTCTTAAATATTCAGTTCTTTCCTTGATTTTAAAGTCAGTTTGATTTATGAAGTTTTACGGACACTGTTGTCATCTGGAACTGGGTAGTGTGTTACCCAGTTTTGCATTACTATTTCAAAATACCTAAAATAAATGATAAGGAAGAAATATTTATTTTGGCTGTTACACATTGTTCGGTTTGATCTGTTGGCTCTGTCACCTTTGAGTCTGTGACAAGGCAAAACATGTGATGGCTGGGAAGTTAAAAGACAGAGGAAGAAGACCCCAACTTCCTCTTCAAGGGTGCGTCCCCAGTGGCCTAACGTCCTCCCACCAGACCACCTCCTGGGGTATCTAGTTGAAATGCTCAAAGGAAAACTTCCATGAAATATTAATTAAAAAGTTTTTTAAAATTTTTAAAAATTAATGAAATAAATAGTATTTAAGTATCAAAAATATACCCACTGACATCAATGTCATAATAATAATAATGAAATGAAATTCACATCTATCGATGTGCCAGGTGCTGTTGGAAGCGTTTCTATGTGTATTAAAAATGAAATTCCCAACACAACCCTGATAAGTATTCTGTCTGCCATTACTATGTAATACACTGAGGACCAAAATCCATGAATAACTTCTTTTATATATCCTAAGTATAGGAGTCAACCTTTATACTTAGGTTGATTCCAGAGATCCTGATACGAGTTTAGACAAAATGTTAGTATTTAGCCAATAAATTATCTCACAATTAAAAGATTACTCGGATTAAATAAATTTTTACTTAATGAAAATGTCATGAAATTTTATATTTCTAATTTGGCAAAGACCAGTTAAAACTTTCTCACATTATCAGGCCTGGTTTATGGGTTAGCACTTGGAAACTTTTCCCTGAAACAGCAGAGATCCAAAGGACTGGCATGCATGTGCTATCTGATCTAATTAAAAGTCAATTCAGCTGAAAATTCAGTTCCCCAGTTGTGCTAACCACATATCAAGAGCCCTCTGTGACTTGTGGCTGTCCTGCTGGGCAGCACAGAAATGGAACATTGCAGTCACAGCGGAAAGTCCTATCAGAGAACGCCAAGCAAGTGTGTTTATTATACCAGGGAAAGCAAAGCTGTCCCAGCAAAAGGAAGAGTTATAAATGGGAATCATTATGTTAAAAATTATTATTCCTCCTTTCCAGGAGCTTAAGATGGATTTGCTTTTTGATCCAGCAGTTTCACGCGTAGGAATCTTTACTATTGAGTTCATTCCCTAATGACAGCATTGCCAGTCCTTCACTGTTCACACTGGTGACGAATGGAAACAGCCTAAATGCACAATTAAGGTTAAAAACCATCCGGTGGAATGATGTGTAGTAATTAAAGTAACACTATAGGCAAATGTTAGGCAGTATGACACATTAGATTCACATTGTATCGATAGGAAATACACATACAGTAAGATCTCAGTTTTTATTATTAAAAATGTATAGAAGCTTGTCAGTATCTATGCTTACAAAAATGTACAAAAGCATTCAGTATTACATCTGAGGCTATATCTGAGATTTTGGACACCTAAATTTTTATTTTGAACTTTTTTTTTTGTCTTTTTCATTTTTATCAGTACCAGGGATCGAACTCACAATTGCCTGCTTGCAAGGCAGGCGCTTATGCCGCTGAGCTAAATCCCCAGCCCCTATTTTGAACTTTTCTATAATAAATATGACTCACCTTTGTAACAAGTAGAATTTTGTTTGGAAGGTTCCTTTTGGGTTGAGAGGTTGTGCCAGAGACAGAACTCAGAGCCGCGTGTTTGCTAAGCATGTGCTCTACCAAAAAGTCACTCCCTCAGCCCCTTAGAAAGGTACTTTAATTTTTTAAAAAATTAAACATAAGTCGTCTTCTCACAATACTGAAAAATGAACAAAAGGATTTAAGGAAGTTGCTAGTCCAAGGGCCAGCAAACAACAGTCCAGGGACCAGACCAGTTTCAGTATTATTTGTGATCCAAGACTGCTTTTTATATTTTTAAATAGTTGGGGAGGAGAAATCAACAGCCATAATACTTATGACATGTGAAAATTACATGAAATTGACATTTTGGTATCCAGGAATAAGATTGTATTCACATTCACTGACACATTATGTATGGCTACTTTTGTACTGTAACAAGGACAGAGTTAAGTAGTAGCTTACACTGACCACCTAACCTTCAAAGCCAACAATATTTATTATTAGAATATTTTTAAATGATTTTCTGGTCCCTATTTGCTTTCAGCCTACAGTGTTTTATTTAGTTCACTATTTTACAAAAATCTTCCATTTTTTTCCTACATATTTATGATCCAGAGTCAGACTACAAATACTTCCCCTAAAGTTCATCTAGGAGCCAGCAGGATTCTAACCCATGGAGACCCCTTTGGCATCTTTCTCCTTACCCACCCTTTCTATCAGCTTCCACTAAATTTCTTATAGGCTGATGACAAGGTTACCAGAGGAGCTGAGAGACTCACTGTTTCTTGAATTCTTTTTTTGTTTTCCTTTATCACAGAGAAATGCTGTCAACGCATAGCAGCCCTTACAAAACCCTGGAGAGGCGGCCCCAGGGTGGACGGAGCATGCCCACCACGCCGGTCCTCACCCGCAACGCCTACAGCAGTAGCCACTTGGAGTAAGAGCTTTCTGCCTTCGTCTTTGGATCTCTTGATTTGGGCTTTGAGCATTTCTCTTATTTTGTTTTTTTTTTTTTTTTTAGAAATCATTTTAAGTGACTCTTTGTGACTTAAAGTGACTCTTATTCTTCCATACATTCAAATATACATCACATACAGTTTGAATACATGGGCAAAGGAAATACATTTGTCCAGGTGTATATTGGATTGTTAGTAATTTCCCCAAGAAGATATTACTATTCATTATTCAATGGTGAGGATAAAGAGAATAACAGCGATCTTTAATGTGTTTACTGAGCACTGTGCTACATGTTTTATACATGCTATGTTATTTAATCCCCGTCATGACCCTTGTGTGAATTGATTACTAGGTACTATCTTTATCCCATTTTACAAAGAGGGAAGCAAGATTCTGAAAGGTCGGATATGTTGCCCTAAATTGGGCATGGTGACTCACACCTATAATCCTAGCACTTGGTGGGGTGAGGCAAGAGAGTTATAAATTTGATATTTTCCTGGGACTAACTACCAAGTTGAAGGCAACCTTGGACTACAATGGCAAGATCTGTCAAAAAAAAAAAGAAAAAAAAGATATGATGGGACATTGCTATAATTCCAGCATGCTGGGAAACTAGGGCAGGAATTTTGTAAGTTCTGTCCCAGCCTGGGCACTTCAGCCACTTAGCTATAAATAAATAAATGGCTGGGGATGTGGCATAATGCTAAGGCCCTGGGTTTAATCACCAGTACTCCTAAATGAATAAGAAATCTTGCCCCAGATCAGACAGCTGGAAAAAGACAGAGTCATGATTCACAGAGATACCTGGGGCTCCAAGGTCCACACTATGCTCCATCGTGCAATGTTACCTCCACTCAGCCTAATTTTCCTTAAGGACCCTCCAAAGACCCAACAGATGATGTTTTCAGGCTTTGAGTCTGGTCAAGGGAAACCATTTTTGTCTTCCCTGCCCTCGAGGAATGATTTGGTTTGCATGCCTGAAAGTGCCTTGTTCTTTCTCATTTTGTCTGCGGTGAAGAACTCCGTGGCCTCCAGCACATTATTTGGACCCAGGGGTTCTTATGCACTGTCAGCCTTGGAAGCTTTAAGAAATCCTCTTGCACCTTAGCAGCCATGAAATCATTTGACATGGTATTCTCCTCTCCTCCCGGGATCCTCCTTTCCCTCTTTTTTTTTTTTCAAATCGGTACCAGAGATCGAACTCAGGACCAACTGCTTGCAAAGCAGGTGCTTATGCCACTGAGCTAAATCCCCAGCCCCTAAAAAAATTTTTTTCATTTTATCGGTACTGGGATCAAACTCATGACCATATGCTTGCAAGGCAAGCGCTTATGCTGCTGAGCTAAATCTCCAGCCCCTTTCCCTCTTTTCATGTCCACATTTGCTTTTCTCCTCTTGCAGACCTGAATCTGCATCTCAGCACTGCCGCCAGCGGAGTGGGAGCCTCGAGTCCCAGTCCCACCTGCTCTCCGAGATGGACGAGAAGCCATTTTTCTCCCTCTCCAAATCCCAAAGAAGCAGCAGCACCGAGATCCTGGATGATGGGTCTTCCTACACCAGCCAGTCCAGCACCGAGTATTACTGTGTGACTCCCGCTGCCTCTGCTGGACCCTATTACACCACCCAGACTCTGGACACACGTGCCAGGGGCCGGAGGAGGTCTAGAAAACAGAATGTTGCTACTTCCAATTCAGGAAGCATGCCCAACCTGGCACAGAAAGATAGTGTGAGGAACGGGGTCTACTCAAAGGGTCAGGAGCCACCCTCTTGTAGTTACTATATCTCTGGTTATGCGCCATATGCAGAGTGTGACCTTTATTATGGTGGTGGCTATGTCTACGAGAATGACACTGAGGGACAGTATAGTGTCAATCCTTCCTACAGATCCTCAGCCCACTATGGATATGACCGCCCAAGGGACTATAGCAGATCCTTCCATGAAGACGAGGTGGACCGCGTGCCCCACAACCCGTATGCAACTCTGCGGCTGCCCAGGAAGGCTGCTGTGAAATCTGAGCACATCACCAAAAACATCCACAAGGCCTTAGTTGCGGAGCACCTCCGTGGCTGGTACCAGCGGGCCTCTGGGCAGAAGGATCAGGGGCACAGCCCACAGACTAGCTTTGACTCTGACAGAGGATCCCAGAGATGCCTGGGGTTTGCCGGGTTGCAGGTGGCCTGTTCGCCAAGCAGCCGAGCGTCTTCCTACTCTTCAGGTAAGGCAATTGTGAAAGCACCTGACACCTGGAGTTAATTTACATCAGCCAGCCACCTTTCCAGGCCACCTGGAAAGGCCACTCCTTTCCAGGATCCTGAAACCTGTGCCCAAGCCCAGAAGAGCAGTAGCCATTCAGCTGCACCACAGTAAGAACTGCCAACTTGAAAAGTTCTCTCCAAATTTCAAAAAATATAGGGTGTGTGAGTCTAGTGACACAAAGTATAGATTCAGGTATAACAAACATTTACTAAGCCCCTGCTGTGTATGTTGCTCCATTTTAAGGCTTTCTCCTGCTTTATCCTTCCTGGTTTTATGTTGACAGCTACATCTCTTCAATGTGCTTGGGTCATTGAGAGATCTTATATTCTGAAAGACTAGAGTAAACCCCTCGCGTTAGCAGGGAGTATTAGAATTAGACATGAATCCATCCAGTCACCATTAGGGTTCAATCAGTCTGAGGACTCTTTTATTCTTATGTCCTTTGCATTGACTTGAGCTGCTACCTTTCTGCTGATGTTTGTGGACTATGCACTGTCAACCTCTACCAGTGCTTTAATAGAAAATGGGGTTGGAGAGGGGCTTCCTTGTGAGTTCACAAATTCAGTGAATGAGCAGGTGCCCAAGAAGCTGAGGATTCTGTTGGAGCAGTTCCTGGCCTCCATGAGCTCAGGGTCTTGTCACAAGCCAGAGGAATGTGTGGAAATTCAGCAAGCTTTAAAACTGAGAAATGAATGAATTCTCTCTACTGCACAAAAACCTGAGGTCATGAGTCCTACCGCCTCCCTTAAACATGACACTTCAGTGAGATATAGTACGAGGATTCATGGTACAATCATCCTGAACTGTGCCTTTAAACATTTCATAAGTTTGTTGATAGGAGGCATTTCCATGGAGATTTTTATTTGGGTTCAACTTCTCTCTTGTTTATGCAGGACTTTGGACTTCCACTAGGGCTGCTCTGTCTGTGTATGATCGCACTGAACATATGCAAGGGCTTCTGTTATTTCTCATTATTTATGGCTCTGATCTAGAGGAACGCTTTTTTCCTCTTAAGACTCAGAGTGTTGAGTGAAAATCTACCATATACCAAGCCTGGGCAGAGTAGTCCAAGGACAAAGACAAGCAGATAGGCAGAGATATTGTGGACAATCATCAGGGTGTGGGGCTGGGCAGTGTCCGTGGAGGTGCCAGTGTCATTTGAGAACCTCAGCTTAGTGTCTGGCGCACTTGTGAAAACTGACACTGCCTGGTTCTGATATGGTACGAGCTTGCTGACACCACCAGGGTTTGGCCCCACAAATCTAGAGCTGCTATTGCTTTTTTTCTGGTGCTGGGGATTAAACCCAGGGCCTTTGCACTGAGCTGAACCACCAGGCCATTTATTATTTTTTATTTTGAGACAGGGCTGAGTTGCCCGGGTGGGGTTTGAATTTATGATCCTCCTGCTTCAGCCTACAAGAATATAGAGATTACAAGCATGGGTCACCATGCCCAGCAAGAGCTCTACTTCTTAAGGAGTTGGGTGGGATCAGTGCTTCCAAAAATCCCTTCTGAAATTTTCCTTATTCCTGTCCCCATTTTGTAGCTGCAGAACTATATTGTGATGGGTGTGTATATTCCTCATGGAGAGATACATTTTCAATTATTTGCCAGATTAGTCAGGGCTCTTGTAATTCCTTCCAGCTAGGCTCTCCTGGTGACTCAGTTGTGGTAGTAACAACAATGACTTGTTGGCAACTTCCTGTGTCTCAGTACTTGAAGGAGGCAACAGCTCTATCACATAGTGATGCTACTGTGAAGTTATTACTGATCCTATTTTGCAGCCTCTGCAGATCTGGCTTTAAGTTTAAATGAACCTGTCCAAACTCCAAGTGAGTGCTGGAGTGGGGCTTCTATCCCAGCTCTGACACCACAACTACCAAGCCCTAGAACTTCCTTTTAAATTTCTAGAACATTCTTGGTAGCTCAGAGTCAGTCTTCCATCTGCTGACAAAGCCATGTGGCATCCAGGGTCAGATGTTGGGTGGGTATGAGAGAAGAGAAGTAGGTCAGGACTCAGGAGCAGGAAGTGGAGGCCAGCAGGAAGTGCTGGTTTTGTGAGTCTTGGCATTGTGGCCACCGGCCGTGGAACAAGACTGGTTTTTAGAGAGAATAGCAAACAACCAGTGGCGAGGACCTCATCCGGCTTTACCCTCAGACTGTGCCCTTGTCTGGTTCCTGTTCTGCCCCTCTGTGAAGCTAAGTCTCTCCTTCCTGAGTGCCTCCCGATACCAGACACCATCCCCACCCCCACCTTTGTTGGAGAAAAAAGTATGCATTCATCTTCCAAGTGGCCTGTGTTGCCTTTGGCTGAGGGAGAGTCAAGTCCAAACAAGTTGACTAAGGGGTGCGTTTCCTCCAATAGGCCTCTGACAGACTCAGACTCATCATCTCCCTCATACCTAAGCTTTGCGTGTGCAGCCACCATGGCGTGGGTGCATTAAGGAATCTTACTCCTTAATACATGAGATTTTTTTGTTGTTCGTGGCTTTTTAGTTTTAATTTGGGGGGGTTTACTAGGAATAAGATTCATTAAAATACAAAGTTATCAATTAAAAATTTTAAAGCTATTTTAATTAAAAGAAAGTTATTAAGAAATTTTAAATTATTATTGGTTAAAATTTTTTAAATTATCAATTAAAATGTTTTAAATTATTATCAATTAAAATTTTTTAAATTATTTTTAATTAAGACAGTTATCAATTAAAAATTTTAAAATTATTTGTAATTGATAACTATCATTTAATGAATCTTATTCCTCTTAATGATAATATTAATAGTTATCATTCCTTAAGTGTTTACTCTGCAGTAGGCACTATGCTAAAGTTGTTTGTAATCATATCATTTAATCCCGGTTGCACACTTACATAGAATATATTTGTGTTGTCATCCTCACTCTGCAGATGAAAAAACTGAGTCTTCAAGAAAAGAAGCTGTCTGTCCAAGACTGCTTGGCCATTAAGTCACCAAATTGGAATTTCAAATCCTGCTTTGACGAGCAGTGTAGCCTAGTGGTGTTTAGCACAGGCAAGACTTAGGTTTAATCCCCAGCACCAGCCCAAAATGAAAAATCAAACCTGGGCTCTTCACCTCTGTTTATGATGTGCATCAAAATGACACGAATGGTTCTCACTTTGAGTATTTCAACTAATTTATCTTTTTTAAAATTTTTGTTTCTAGTGTCGTCGACAAATGCTTCTGGGAACTGGAGGACCCAAGTAACGGTAGGACTACCTGACTACGAGACTCCTGCACATTCTCCGTACGCCAGCTGCTACGGCAACATCTATAATGCTTTGCCCTCTCCGAGCAGGTGAGAAGCAGTGCTCACATGCCAGGAGCTTGATCCGTTCATCAGCACTTGAGGGCTCACCTAGCCCTCTGAACGTGAAGTAACAGCTCAGGGGTTGATAAATGAGAGCGTACAGGCTAAACCCAAAGAAAGCTTTATTTGAAAAATACCCACCCTTTTTCACATACACATTAACTGTGGTTGTTTGTCCACTCTGGACAGAGCTGAATAGTTGTCACAGGCACCATATAGCCAACAAAGTAAAAAATATCTGGCTTTTTAAGAAAAAGTTTACTACCTAGCATGGTGGTGCACAGCTGTAATCCCAGCACTTGGGAGGCTGATGCAGGAGGATTGTTTCGAATTCAAGGCCAGCCTGGGCTAGGGAGTTCAGGACCAGCCTGAACAACAGATGAAATGATACCCTGGTCTCAAAAAACAAAAAGTTCACTAACTTCTAGTGTGTTCAAATTTAATCTTTTTCTTGGAATCTGTACATTAAATTCTGAGTTTGTTGCTGTTTTTTTTAAAGGCAGTATTTGAAACTGTATTATTGATAATGTCTATTTAAGACATTTCCAGAGTCTTGTAGGGACTTTAACTCCAGAAAGGCTGTCCACACCAGTGCTCCTTGTGGACAGTTGGTCAGTTTGATGCCTGCCATTTGCTGCCTATTGTGTCTGAGCCTGTATGCACTAGAAACAACAGACACAGCCAGCTGTCCTGCTTAAAAAGCAGTTCTTTGTAAACAGTAGAGGGAACACATAAGAATAATGTGCTAAAATAGATTTTTAAAAATGAATATAAACAGAACTGTGTGGTTTTCAGTACCTATTGTGCAAAAGAGGAATGAAGTTTGAAGAAGTGTTTCTCCCTCTTACATTCCTACATAATTCACGCTCATGGTGCCAGGAAGCAGAGCATTCTGACTACTTTAAATCAGATTTCTGCAGACAGAGGTCTGCACACAAACCATAATGTGTAAAGCAGTCATTACTGGTGAATTGGAAGGATGAACATTTCCTTATTAAGACATGCAGGGTTACAAACTAATTGGAGATATGCAATCCTTTTACCTTGTTTTTAATCCGTATCCAGTGAGAGTTTTTCTTGGCTTCAAATATTAAGCCGATTGTCTTGACTCAACAAAGGGTGTGCTCAAAATAGACTTTTAATGAAAATGTACTTCAGAGGGTGTTCCATGGCTTGTACTTGTAAATAATGCTTACAAGTGAGGTAGGAGCAAGGACCAGAGTGACTGCATCTTTTTAGTGCAGCTCTCATGCCGCATACTACATTTGCAAACTGTTTTCATTTTTGACTTTCCTTTTTGTTGACTCAGAGCACAAGACAGTTCTAACATCTTCTTCTTTCATTGAGCTAAAAAACTGCTAAGCATTTTCTCTTTTTAGCAACTCTGCTGTATGGATTTCAGGCAGCCCAGGATGGCTTGATAGGGAAGACAGGTGTCAGAGAGGACATAATGCACAGGAGATCAGAAGTCAGTGAATATGTGTATGTGTGGACCCATATATGAGCTCATTTTGGAAAGTAATACGGAAACAAAATAATAATTTAGCTATAATTCCACCTTCCCAGAGATAGCAGTTACTAACATTCGGCATATTTTCTCCACTTTTGTGTGTCCATATTTAACTTGGTCATAATGGTCACATAAATACAATTTGAGTTCATATGTTGTATATATAATTCTACATCTAATTTCTTTCTTTCTTTCTTTTAGCTTTTGCTTTTTTGAGACAGAGTTTCACTATGTAGTCCAGGCTGGTCTTAAATGTCTTATGCAATCCAAGCTGGCCTTGAACTTGCAGTGATCCTTCTGCCTCAACCTCCTGAGTACTAGAATTATAGGCATGCACCATCGCACCCAGCTCATCCTGTTTCTTAAATTTAACATCACAACAAAAGCAGGTCCCTACTTTTTAAAAAATTCTTTAAATTTTATTTTATGTGGCCAGTATTATACTTATTAAATATGCCACACTTTGTTTAAAATCACCACAGTTTTTGAACAAGTGATGATTTTTAGGTCTTCCTTTTTTATTTTTAATTTTTAGTAGTGCCACTATTAGCATCTTTGTGCAAAATATTTGTCTGAATACCAGATTATTTCCTTAGAATACATTCTATAAGTAGAGGTGTACACTCAACAAGTGCTCTACCACTGAGCTGCATCCTCAGACCATTTTTATTTTTTATTTTGAGACAGACTGTCATCAAAGTTGTCCAGGCTTGCCCCAAACTTGTGATCCTCCTACTTTATCCTCCAGATAGCTGGGATTACAGATGTGCACCACTCTGCTGCCTGAAATGTGTACTTTTTAAAGATCTTGTGGTCTAGAGAAACTATCTAGCAGCCCAGCTACAAGATTTGGAAACACCTGTTTAAACCCATTTACTTTTTTAGGATTTTGATTGTTAGAATCTGATCAATTTAGCTTAATTTGTTAGCAAGGAAAGTGTTACGAATAGTTGTCATCATAAAAGCTTTAGAAAACTGCTTTAGGGCCAGGCATGTAACTCAGGAGCACAGCACCTGCCTGGAAAGCACAAAGTCCTGAATTTGATTTCTGCTGAAAGAAAAGAAAGAAGGAAGGAAGGAAGGAAGGAAAGAAGGAAGGAAGGAAGGAAGGAAGGAAGGAAGGAAGGAAGGAAGGAAGGAAGGAAGAAAGAAAGGAAGAAAGGAAGGAAGAAAGAAAGAAAAGAGAGAAAGAAAGAGAGAGAACTGCTTTTAAAAAAGAGACAAAGTAAGTTTCAAGATGCAGCTGAAAATCTTTACCAAGGATTTGAATGCTTAACAATGTGATACATGTCAAATGTGTATGACTTAAAAATTCTTTCCCCTAAATATCTAGGGGGGCTTAATATTACAGGAAGCTAAAAATTTTTACCAACAAAAAATATTCATCCCAATATGATTTGGTATTCTTTTGTCATTGACATAAACTTCCCAAAGTGAGAAAAAAATATTGAAATCTTTTATGCTGCTAAATGTGTAATGGAATCAAATTCTTGGCTCTATTGTTGCTGCAAATTGTGTTTTCAAGTAACTTTTTTTCTTTCACTTCTGTTTTCCGTTCCCTTTCCCCTTCCCTGTCTAACTCTACCTATTACTAGGCAAATGTCCCGGACAATGATTGTCTCTCCAGAAATGAAATCAGTTTTAAATTCTCTTTTGCTAAGCGTAGCCAGCTGTAGTAAGTACAGTCCCTGAAACTTGTGTGTTGCTTCTTGCTTAGCAGGAGTTTTGCTTGCTCTGACTGATAATGTAGTATAAAATATGATTTTTATGTTATATGAAAACACTAAAAAACTTGGGTTGATATAGTATGTATTTCCTAAGCTCTACTTCCAAGGCTTTTAAATCATCTTTACTAAAAGACTTTGAAATTTAAAGTAGAACAGAACTCTACTAACTCTCTAACCTATTTTAACCTACTATTACAATAATACAGTTTTGCTTATCAGAATGGTCTTTAATAGGGTGCATTCATTTGAATGTACCACCCATATCTTTCTATTATTTTAAATGTCACAATTTTCTAGGTCACTGACAGTTTATATTTAACTCATAAGCCTTGGGATATAAAATATGTGCCTAGATGCCCATGCTGTCTTTAAATATATTCCTTTGTCCCTGAGGAAAGCATGTATTATTTTAATTCAATGAATAAAATGTAATTGTCAAAATATACTTCTCGCTGGGGGCTTAGGTCAGCAGGGTAAGTGCCTGCTTGGCAAACGTGAGATTGTGACTTCAATTCTCAGTACCAAAATATACTTCTAGAAAAGTATAAAATATGATGAGCAAATTTAAAAATGAATATGCATTGAAGGTTTTTTTTCACTTATTAATATAGGAACCTAGCAGATTGGTTATATTGGTTCAAAGAGCATTCAAGGCATCAAAAGTTAGAACACTAGACTAAGATTATTAAATTAAATTAGGTACCAAACCAGCAACTTTCCCACAAAAGGCAATAAAACTATAACCCATAATCTTCTCTCCTAGACAGAAGTTATTTGTATTTCTTCCCAACAAAAAACTACAAGTTAACATGTAACTACATGTGATCTAGGTCCTAATCAAAGGTAAATGTAATTTAAACAAAGGTACCGCTCCCTAGAGAATTGAATAACCCTTTTATAGGTCTACTAGACAATGCTCCTCTATAATGTGGAAAGAACATTCAGTTATCCTTTGATTTACTTTGCTTTGGAAAGTTTCTTAACAGTGTTTCCTACTAACTTTTTTGAATGGCATACTCTTTGTATGGCGGGAATAAAAATGACTACAAGCAGTAATTCTCTGGTTCTCTTCAATAGGCCATACACAGAGACCGGGCACCTGGACAGCAGTGCAGATGGAAGCCAGTTGGAGGACGAGCTGGAGAGTGGCGAGCAGAGGCTCTTTTGGCATGAAGATTCAAAGCCTGGAACATTAGTTTGACGTGCAGTTGGACCTCCAGACCCAGCACTGCGTTCTTACACTGGTGTGCCTTGCAAAACTGTCCTCGTCTTCCCAGGAGGCTATTGGCTTTAGGAATCTAAAGACATCTGCAGTTGCAGAGATGACTCGCATTGCCCTAGAAAGGAACTGCACACTAAGCCCCAAGAGCCCCTGAATGAGGACGTGCCTTTCAAACTTCAGGCACTAACCTGACACCAAGGTCTGACCCTACAAGGAATCCCTGCCAAGAAAGGACTCAGTTTGAAGTCCTTATCTGTAGCAAGCACTTTTGAAAGGAATGGAAATTGTCAAAAGCAACCCTCCAAACTGTGAAAATGCATCCAGGGAGGGTTTTCCATTGGAAAGAAGGACAGGAGATTTCAGAGCACAATTCAGAATGATGACAGAAGGGTAACCAGAAGCTCCTAAGCTCACCAACACCAAACTTGAATTTGTGAGCTGATGAAAAAGGGCATGCTATTTCTACAAAGACTTGGACAATTTAGACAGTATTGGAAAATTACTTGAAGAGAAGTCAGATTTTCATGAATTTTTGAATGAGTGTAAATGTTTTTAGGATATTATGAAGAGTGATGTTTTTTATAAGCACCATAATATGGGTTCTAGACAGACTTCTTGCTGTAGCATCCCATAATATAACTTTATGGTAGCAGATTGGTGAAAATGAGGCAGCCGATTGAATAAGTGACCAACTCTGCTTGGACTCTTCCAAGGTATCTTATCCCTGAGCTCCTGCTTTCTTTCTCCACCACTTGTGTCATGAGCTGCTACTCAGACTGGTCACTCTCTACCTTGGTTTCATTTGAAATGGTAGAGTTTGGTGGGAAAAGTTGTCATAATCTTGAGTTTCGAAAAGTATCTTAAGGTGGTACAAAACGGGGCCCAAACAATAACAACAAAACAAAGCCACATCATTGTAGATGAATTGTGTGCCTTAAAATGGTGAACATTAAAAATTAAACATAATTTTTTGGATTCCACAAGTAGTTGTGAGTCACCAAGTGACAAAAACAAAATTAGCATTTAAAAAAAAAGATTCCAAGCTGCAGTGGATTGAATTATGAGGCTAACACTACCTCATATTTTCCTTGGAAGAATTAATGAGCTGTGGTATATTGTGTGGTTTTGTTTTCCTGTCTGTTTTTTTAGAACAAATGATTTCATTCTTCCAGATTGTTCTTTGTTGTCTTCCTTGCTTCAGAATTCCATGAAAGGTGCTCCTTGTCCCATCCCCTTTTATACGAGTTTCTTGTTCATATTGTGAATAGAGAAGTTTCTGAACAACTTTTTTGAACACCATTTTCTATCTGTATTCCAAAGCATGTAATATATACATGAAAGTGATTTGTCAAACTGGTCCCTACTCATTTGTATCATTAGAAATGAAATTTGGGGGAAATTTTTGGAAAAAGAAAGCCTCAAGCAAAAAATGATAACTTATTCCTTTTTGCATATTTGTATAGCCTTCTAGAAACAGAAATACCCTTTTGCATATTCTTTTACTGTTCTGACTTTTTCAGACCTATTATTTTTTTATGTAGGTCAATAAACTAAAGGTGTGCTACTGAGAACATGTGTGTATTCTTCCATTTGTGCAGAGGGTTTAACAAAGTAATTTAAAGGGCTCTATTTTAAGTAATGTGTTGGGTAAGATGTCAGATTTTTAGTTAAAGAGCGTTACCTTATTTTATTGATTTCAAGATGGGCTTTTTTCATATTTACATACACAGGGCTCATCTCTGATTGGCAGCTGGGCCTAGTTAGACTGCAATGTTTTTTCCTTTCTTAGTGATACACAACATAAATAATCCTGTGTCTTACAATAAAGTTGTAGAATTGATGAAATATAGCAGTTTATTGCCTCCCTCCCTGAGGATGACTGATGAGAATTTTTAGGTTTCTTAATCTTAAGGATGCTGTTTATTTGTAAGAAGTCATTCATCTTACTTTCGCAGACCAGCTTAACAGGCCTTTTATAAAACTGAGGGAAATACTTTATTTGACATTGTTTTAGACCTGTTCAATGGAGAGAGTCAGGTGGAAATTTAAATTCAGAAGAGCTGACATGAATATTTCCCATACATGTGTCTTGCATACAAATAATCTTTTCCTGTTCAAAAAATGGCAAGCTCAGAACTGCCAGTGTACCTCAAAAGAGCAGCTAGAACTTGGCTCCAAAAGAGAAAAAGAAGCCATAGGAATGGAAGCCTAGTAGGGTTTGCCATATGACTGCTATCTTTTTTTGGAAAACACCTCTTTACATATGTTGGTACAAGTATGTCTATGAAAAACCCAAAAGTGACACACTTATAATTTCAGGATTCTAGGCAGCTGAGGCAGGAGGATCACAAGTTTGATCTTGACCTGTTCTAATTAGTGACTTGAAAAGAGCCTGTCTCAAGATAAGGGCTGAGGATATAACTTAGTACAAAAGCTCTGGGTACAATCCCCAGGATTACAAAAAAAGGGCGAATTATCCAATATATAAATAACCATTTTTATTTTAAAAAATCCTATGCTTATAGTACAAATTATAAATGCAAATAAAAAATACGTAAGATTATAAAAAGCAATAGTGCTCTTACAAGTCTAACCCTCCTAGACAGGACAAATACTAATTTATTGTATATGAGCTCGGATTTTTTCTATGCATACCATAATGCTTTATTCTGGCATCACAGTACAAGTACAGTTGTACAGTAATTTTTTCCCCTAATATATCTTGGGCCTCACTCTGTATTAGTACATATTGATCTGCCTCAGAAAGATGTATGTTCTACAAGGTAGATTTTTCTTGCTTTCTTTGATGTCTGTTTTTCTATAGTTGAAAAAAAAATCTTCAAAACACTTCCTTTTATTCATGAAAGCTTAAATGTTACAGGCAATAAAGATCCTGGCCTGTTTTAGACTGCTAGTTTGGCCCATTGTTAAAACAGAGGTTCAGAGTAAGGCGTTTCCTCAAATGTTAGTCCCTAAAAAGCCTTCACAGTTGGAATTATGACTTTCTTCAATGTAGTATACAAATTTAGATTCTTTTTGGTTCATGCTGATACTGGGAATTGAACCCAGAGCCTTTGCATTGAGCTCTACATCCCTAGGTTCTTTTTGATAGTTTTCATTCTGAGACAGTGTCTCAGCAAGCCACGAAGCTGCCCACGCTGGGCCCACACTGTCGCCCCTCCTGTCTCCCAGAGGGTGAGAAAACAGGGTGCACTACCCCACCCAGCTTGGATGATCCTCCACACAGTGATGCTGTTCAGACTACTCATGGGAAAAGAACAATTTTTAAAATTTCCAAGCCATTGTGAATCTATGGTTTATAACTGTAGAATCTATCTATGGTTATAAAATAAACTGAATTATTTGGAAAAAATTCAGAAGAGAGTAAAATTCTAGATAATTAGGCAAGAGTTAGAAATATATATTCCTGCCTATTAGATTCTGCAGATATAAGACTACTCTATGATCTCTAAACACTGCCTCTGTTTCTGCATTTCCCTCGCTGAGTTCCAGTGACAGAGTTTTCAGATTGCCTTGCAATAGCACTGAGCTGGAGCTCCGGCCAAGGAGGGCGGGCTTTTACCCATGCTTGGCTTGGTGAGCAGGCAGGTTATTGGTGGTCCTTTGTAATCTTACAGGGCATGAAGGCATCATCCATTTCCATAGAAGAAAAACCTTTGACACTGAGTCAAGAAAATAATGCAGAACTGAACTCTTCAAGGTTTGGTCTGCCCCCTTATCCCTTGTTTTCACCCTGTTATTAGTTCCCTCTTCACCTGGCCCCCCACATCTCCGCTTCTGTTGTTTATTCTCTCTGCTTCCATCTTTGTGCCACTCCAGGGTAGAAAGAGAAAAGTATGTCCTGCCTCAAAAATGAGTTTGCATTTGTTCAGTTGTAGCTCGACATGTGCAAAGGTGTGCAAAAGGCCAGTGTGCAAAATGTTTTAGGTATATTTGCTCGTTTCATTACTGCAACAGGGAAACAGGGTACAAAGTGCTACAAAAATCTCCATTTTACAGATAAAGAATCTGAGAACTGGTAAGGTCAACTAACTCACCAAGTTACACCACTTTTGGAGCAAAACAGGATATAAATTCTGACTTTTTTTCTTTTTGGTGCCAGGGATGAAACTCAGAACCTTGCCAGGCAGGCACTTATAATAATTCTGACCTTTTAAACTCCAAATCCTAAACTACTAGAGATTGAGCATTCCTAATTCAAAAATCTGAAAGTTTTTGAGTGTTAACATGATGCCCCACGTAAAAAATCCTAAACCAAGAAGTTCCGTTTCTTTCTTTTTTTTTTTTTGTCTTTTTCCTTTTTTTTTTTATCGGTACCAGGGATCAAACTCACAACTGCCTGCTTTCAAGGCAGGCGCTTATGCCGCTGAGCTAATTCCCCAGCCCCTGAAGTTCTGTTTCTTACACACAGTTATTTACAAGACTGTATAAAGTTACCTTCATGCTATGTAATTAATAGGAATCGAACTCACGACCTCGCACTTGCCAGGCAGATGCTGCTGAGCTAAATCCTGGGCCCCATGCTATATATTTAAAATATACATGAAATGTAAATGAATTTCATGTAAAATATACATGAAATGTAAATGTAAATGAAACTCAGAGGCTCAAGGCCTCTCCCAAATATATTATGTATATGGAGTGATGGCAAAAATCTAAAATAATTGTAAAAATCTAAAATTTCTGGTTTCAGGCATTCTGATAAGGGGTACTAAACCTGTAACGCCTCTTTGAATGAGTGCTTTCTATGAATAACTTCTCTGAGAATGGCAAATATACTTTTTTATGGATTAATGAAACAAGTAAACACATGCTAAGCCAGCTCTTCTCCTTCATTATCACTTACAGATAGCAGCCCTAGTTTTCTTTCATTTACCAGCAGCAAAAGGCAGAACCAGGCCTACATACAAACATAAGTCAAGATAACCTCTAGCTAGGAGGCTACCTAGTCTCAAGTGGCTGCCCATCAGGCTGAATTATTTATTAGTGGATGAACTCAGCTGTGGATCAAGTACATTTCTTAAATTGTTTTCTAATCAATAAAACATCTTACCCCTGCAAATATACTTGTTACAATCACAGATAACCATAATGAACTAAGAATTGATTAGTAACACTGAAACTGTCAACTGATCCGTCCCCATTTTTGATTGTTCAGGGTCAGTATGATAACACGAAATCTAACATACTCTGCTGCAACACCTCTGAGACGCTGCCTTGGGCTGTGGCGCTCTGATGCCTGTGTTTGGAAACAGTGAGTCTGTGATGAGTTTCTCTGCAGTCTGAGCCTGCCACCAGCATCCTTGAAATACCTTCTCTTCTCTTGAGAGTGATTCAGTGAATGCATCAACTCCTGGCAGGAGAAAATGGGAAAAACTATGAGCAAGATGTGTCATGGCAATACTTGTCTGATCACTGTTCTTAATGCATGCACACACACACACACACACACACACACACACACACACACACACACACAGTTCTCTCCATGCCCTTCACTTCCAAATATCAGCAGCCTTGGCAAGAATGGTGCCCTGGGACTGGAAAGAGGATGGGAGTTGAGCCAACTCCTGCATTTCAGGTGATCTTCTTGAATCCTTGTCCTTCATAAAGTGCCCAAGTTTAAAAGATCTGAGATTTTCATCTATGCTGCACCTCTCCAGTGGAGCACTTGAAAATACATTTTGAATTCGCCCACTGATTAGGGAGGTGCACCCTGACTTTAGAGGACCAGGAACATTAAGCATACTGCAGTGTGTGAGATGATCCCACACAACAGAGTTGTCCACTCAAACTGCCCAAAGTAACTCCCTGGAGAAACTTGGTGGGCTGTGTCCATAGGACATTATATCTACTTCTCTGGGTAGTAGTGTTCTGGGTTTAAAGCAGAGATTTTAATTTCAGAGAGAGAAAGAAGGGAAGGGAAGGATACAATTGTTGGTGAACATCAGGGAAAATTGTGGGGGATTTTTTAAAACCATATAGCTAAGACACATCAGGACACCACCTCTGGGTCAGTGAGATGCTGTCCCAGGCAGTGAAGATGGGTGTGAACAGACTGTTTCCCCAAAGTTTCCTGTCCAGTTAGGGAAAAGCAGAAGTAATGTACCCGAATAGCTTAATGTGGTTGTTAATCTTGAAAACCAGCGGTGGTGAGGGAGAATGAAGGGGGTGTGGTGGTAACTGGGATGGGTGGAACATGGTGGTTCCCTTTGTGGGGAAGTGTGGCATAAACCAAGACTTGAGGTCAGCTCAGGAAGATCCAATTAAACAGAAAAGAATAGATGCCCTCTAGGGTTAAGAGAATAGCAGGTGGCATTTGCCAAAGCTGTGATGCCAGGAAATGTTGGACCACTTACAGAAACAAATGCTATATGAGGCTCAAATGTGCTATATTAAGAAATCTGGGTAATAGGAAAGGAAGCCCCCATTCTTGAACTCGCACCATAGTTCCAACAAGGGATGGCATTATCATGCCTTGCCTCATTTAAACCTCCCTACAACTGTGCAAGACAGAAGGTCTTCTTCCCTGATAAGGATGTAGATGGTGGCTCAGGAAGACCCTGATGCCTGTGGTTATGTGATCACACATTAAGTGGTAAAACTAAAATCCAACCTAGGTCTGTTTGACTCCATGTCTCATATCCTTTAGTAGCCATGACATTACACAAAAACAAATGTTAAGCCAGGTATGACAGTGCATTCCTACAGGCCTAGCTATTCAGGATGCTGAGACAAAAGGATCACTTGAGCCCAGATGTTCCAGGCCAGCCTGGAAAACAGCAAGAGCTTGTCTCCCCTACCCAAAACATTCACAGCACATCGGTGTTAAATGAAAACCAGTGAAAATGAAGAAGGGAGGGAAGGAGCAAACAGAAGACTTTTCCTATGCAATGCTAAAAACCAGGTCAGCAGGGCTGAAAAAGGACACGGTAGGGAAGGTGGGTTTTCTTTTTCTTTCTTTCTTTCTTTTTTTGGGGGGGCAGGGTGGGCACCAGGGATCAAACTCACAAACTTGTGCTTGCCAGGCAGGCACTTACACCACTGAGCTAAATCCCTGGCCCCTAAAGTGGGTCTTCAAAGTGTGCAGTTTTGATGTATCCGATCAGGGATTGACTTGAAGGTACATCTTAACAAGGACCCTTAACAGCCAGCTGTGTACAACGACCTTTGCAAACTGGCAGAAGAAAAGAGCTGGGATTTTGTGAAACACACGCAGAAGACTCCAGATGTAGTGCACAAGCGGCCCAGCACCCAGCCCAGGTCTCGCAACACACACATGCACCCACACCCACACACCCACACCCACCCACACACACACACACACACACACACACACACACACACACACACACACACACCTCTCAAGGACAGACCATTCAGTGTGTGGTGCTCTCCTTAACAGGTTTCCTGAGAGAATCAAAGACTGGAAAGCCCAGGTACAAAAGCTGTCATTGGGAATACTGGCTGCTCACAGCCTTTCAATTATCCTACAAGAAGCCTTTCAGGGAGTTGATATTGGGTGTCTGGCAGACAGCAGCATCTTTATAAAGTAGTGGTTAGACGTGCAGGCTTTGAAGTCAGGCAGACCTGGAGACAGACTGCTTGGCTTGGACTCTATCTGCCTCACCACTTACTGGTGATATGAACTAGGGTAAGTCCCCAGGCCTCCCTAAGCACAATAGCCTCTCTTCATCTCCTCTCAAGAATTGGGGATTAAACCCAGGACCTATGCACTGAGTTCTGTCCCCAGTCTGTCCTCCACCCCCGCACACACACTTTAGACACAGGGTCTAAGTTCCTAAATTCCCCTGGCTGGGTTCAAACTTAGGATCCTCTTGCCTCAGCCCCTCAAAATGCTAGGAATACAGGACCACCACGGCCAATTTCAGCTCCTCTTTACTCATCTACCAAGGGTATTGTGTAGCTGCACAAGATAATACAGCCAGCACAATATTAAATTTGCCCTAGGTGTTTCATATTGTACACTACTAACTTCCTAGAAGGGAAAAAAGGCAGTAAGTGAAGGCTGAGCACCGAATGTGATCTAGAAGGCGGAGGTTTCAAGGATTTGCACTGTATTGGCTGAGCCGCTAAATGACAATATTGAAATAAAATATCATCACATGGAAAGCTGATTCATGTCTCAAGCACTCTTATTTCCTTAGGGAATATTTTTTTTCTTCTTTAATTCTCACTGATAGTTTGCTGTGATTAATCTGAAACAGAAGCTTAGGGAGATTAAGGCATTTGCCCAAGTTTGCAGCTAGAAGGTATGAAGGGCTGGATGGCTGCTTATACACGCAAAAGACAGACTTCATCAAAGCAAATTCCTGCTATTCTGGAGTCTGTGGTCACGCTGATGGGGAGCTTTTCCAACTCCATCAGCCACAGCTCTCTTGAAAGGCCAGAAGTAGGACCAGGCACACTTACCAGCACCTGAGAGTGAGCCTATCCTACATGGGTGCCTGGTGCATCTGACCTCGCCCTGCTGTGGGCTTAAACTCAAGTACCTGCTCTTTCATTGTGCACAAGAATGCAGATTAGCTAGCCAGATTCAGCTGGTAAAATAACAAGATGCCAGTTAAATTTGAAAAGCACATCTCCCTGCCAATTTTTGTAATTTCTTTTTTGAAAATAAAACTTTTGGCACGATAAGAAGTAAAATCATTAAATAAAGGATGCGTCTTGTATATAAAGGACACTAGGTACACCTGCCTGCCTGGGCTCTGCCCAAACACAGGCTTGGGAGCCCCTGGGAGTCTTGGGGGCCCTCCAGAGAGAGGTGTGCCCTATGAAGAGGTGGTCCTGCCCAACCTCAGCGTCGTTCTTCAGAACAGAACCTTCCAGGTCAGGTCCAGGCTGGTCCTTAAGCATGCACAAAATGTGTGAAAGTTCTGGGAGAAAAGACCTGAGAAAACCTTTCCCAAAACACTTTCCTCTCACCTGTATAGAACTCCGGAGCTTACAAAATTGGTTAATGATGACCCCTAGAGGCCTTCCTGTGTTATTGCTGGCAGGAGGGTCTGACAGGCTACCCAGTCTGAATTGATGACCCCTTCACTCCATCGATACTGTCTAATACAAACAAGTTTCACTAGCTCTGCACAAAACAAAATAAGCTCAATTTCTAATTTCCAACAATTCTATTTACTAGACTTCTTCTGGAGGAAGTGGTTTAAGTTTTATAAAGTGCCATTTTAAACACAAATAGAAATAATTGTAAGATCATAGAATTTTAAGTACTTCATGAGTTTAGCACAATGCCTAAATGGAATAAAGTAAACCCATGAAAATGTTCACTGTCATTTTTTTTCAGTGATAAAGATGGACTGAGGATATGCTACCACTGACCTACCACTTTTTCCATCTCTCAGCTATTTTTATTTTGGGGTTCTTGGCAGTTTTTTCCTTATTTTTTAGAGAGGATCTTGCTAGATAGTTCAGGTTGGCCTTGAACTCCTGACTCAGCCTCCCAAGGGCTGGAATTACAGGCATGCTGTTGCCGAATGGGGCTGTTTTTATTTTTCTAATCAGGGTCTCACTAATTGCCCAGGCAGATGTCAAAATTTTAATGTTCCTGCCTTAGCCTCTCAGGGAGTAGGGATTACAGGCAGGTGCCACTGTGCCTGATTTAGTATTCCTGTGTCTGTGTGTGTTTGTGTCTGTGTATACACATGCAATACTGAGAATGAACCCAGGACCTTCACACTGAGCTACATCCCTAGCCCTTTTTATTTTCAGGTAAGATTTCCTTAATTGACTAAATTTCTCAGACTGGGCTTGACCTTGCCAGTCACCAGGGAGCTGGGATTCCAGGTGCACACCACTATGTACAGTTTGCTGTCATTTTTATTTCTAATGTGACACTACAAGGAAGTAGATTATAAAAGGGCTAGTAATATTTAAGAACATTAAACCTAAATAATAGTTTGAATATTAAATGTTAATAATATTTATTATTATTGAATGACTAAAAGCCAGGGTGTCATGAGTGACATACTTTCTCCATACAAAATCTGAAGGAGCACCAGAAAATCCAATTTCTGAAATAAATAACAATGCAGTCTTTTAGGGAGTCTACAGGTACACCTGCCCCACCCACCCACATGAACATAATAGAAACATTTTATATATAAAGACTGATGAATGTCACTGATCTTTCCTCTGCTCAGACTCCAGCGTGACTTGGCCCCACACCACCACCCTCTGGGGCTGAGCCACCAGAAGAGGCAGAGATGCCTGGGCTGCTCTGTGGGCACGAGAAGGAGCCCACGGGAGCTGTGGCACACACTAGTCTGGGTCATTGCAACAACCCCAAGCCCGAAAGCAATTCCAACTCACAGTGATTCCACAGCTCATGCTTTCTCTTCTCATCTGTTCACACTTCTCCTTTGTAAAACGAGTGAGGTTTCTTCTATCCCAGGACGTAATTTTACTGGTGTTGTTTAAGAATTTACTGGCACTGTATTTGGCCAATAAAAATAAAGAATGCCTAGTTATAAACAAGGGATGACCTTTAGCATGCATATGTCTCACGTGTGTCTGTTATTTTATTCAACCATGTCCTACTCCACCCCCGTCACCCAGGCAACCAAACATTTTAATAAATAGGGCTCCCAGTTTCAAAATGATGCGGTTCTCCAGACTGGGCCTGCCATTTCTGTACGGAGTGCCGATCTGGGATGGTACATGGCTTTAACTGAGTAATGAGGCCCAGTAAAATATTGGAAACTGGCTTAGTATTTTAGCCTTAGAGGCTAAGCTTCAGAGACTAAGCTTTACCAAACCCTCTTCTCGGCCCTTGCTGAGAAGCTTTGATGGAAGAAATTACAAGCCTGAGTTGGAATCAAACAAAGAAAATGCTTGAAGGTATTCTGTGTTGCCTGTCCTGCAAATGTTATTTATTATTTTGTAATCTCTAGGTCTAGGCAACATAAATCCTTTCTTTGGTAGAATAATATTCTGAACCCCAATGATTTGCTTCTATTTGCCAATGCAATGAAAATGACGGAGAACATGTGAAATTTGCTCTTTAAAAATACTAGTAATCATGCCGCCCACCTGGGACCGAAACATTAGTAAGTTTCAACCCCTGGGAACTTGGTAAATTAAATGTATTGTCAGCAATGGTTTCTTTTAAGAATGCTGCTATTAGAAGATGGAGAAGAGGAAAATATTTCAAGGGTAGCCTAAATGTTAGTTAATATTTGAGCGAAATGCAAGGGATTGGTTTTTTAATTACAGAAGAGCAACACATTAAAGTATGTTCAATGAACTTTTAGGAATTTGCAGGATTTGAAAAACCATTTCCATTTCTAATTCATACGTTGCCTACCTAGAGAGGTTTTTCCAGGTTTCTCCCAAATAAGCAAATCCTTCCCAGGCCACTAATTACCATTTCATACCATTATCGATTTCAGTGTTAGATGTGTGTGTTAGATTTCCAACCTTCACCAGACTTCTCCACTAGACAGAGTGAGCACTTAGAAACCAGGACTGAATCATATTTAGTCATATTTAAATACACGCTCCTTTCTTCTTCTCCTCCTCTTCCTCCTCCTTTTTTTGAGGCAAGGTGTTACTATATAACCCAAACTAGCCTCAAATTCACAGCGATCCTCAGCCTCCCAAGTGCAAGACTTACAGCACTATGTCACCATGTCTAGCAAGAGTACCATTTACATTTAGGCCCTCCAGTTGAGTCCCTACCCAGCGAGTGCTGTGGCACCGTCTAATGCAGTCATGTGTGTGTTAGTTGTGTTAGCTGTGTAGTTTGCTAGGGCTGCTGTGCACAAAGCCCCATACATCTAGTGACTTAACAGAAATCTATTGCCACTCAGCCTGGGGGCTGAGGTCAGGTGCTGGCAAGGGAGGCTCCTGCTGAAACTGGGACCTCTCTGGCTTGTGGTGGCCTGCTTCCCATCTCTGACATTCCTTGACTTGTGGAAACCCCTACCCAGACGCATGCAATCATAGTTTGCTTGTCTGCAAGACCCTCTGTGGATGCTGGAGCAAATGGGAATCCGAGAGCCTCACTCTGAGAACATCTTCATGTCGGCCTGAAGGCAGAAGTGACTGGGAAGGCACTCTCTCTCTCCCTGTGCCTTCTTTCACACAGGTGGACTGCAATTAGGCCTGGATACATTGTATCCATACAGAAAGACTTATTTTATTTTATCTTATTTTCTCTTTTTGTAGTAGCAGGGATGGAACCCAGTAACGCTGTACCATTGAACTACATCCCCAACTCTTAGGTTTTTTGAGACAAGGTCTCACTAAGTTGCCAGGTTGACTTCAAATTTGTGATCCTCCTGCTTTAGCTTCCCATGTAGCTCTGTGTGTGTGGAGGCTTTTTAAAAAGAGATATTTATGTTCCATTCCTACAATGAGCCAACTAACTCAGAATAGTTGAAGGTGAACCCAGTTGTGGATTATTTTGAGCCCTTTTCAGAATGCTGTGTGATGTATAAGGACCATGGACGTAGAGCCAATCTCTTGGCCCTCACTGGGGAAATCTCTCTCATTTCCTCCTCTTTCAGCCTCTAGGCTGCAGACAGGATGTGTTTTGGCCAGCTTCCCAATCCTGGTACAAACTTAGAAGGGTGATTTCTACAAGGCAGAATGCTGAGAGCGTTCTGGTGTCTGTTACCCAGAGTAGCAAAACTGCAAGTAGTTGACCCAAGCCCTGTCACTTGGAGACCTTGTCAACATGCCAACTGTCACTCAGGGTATAGGGGGATCTGGGAACCTGCATTTTCCCCAAGCTCCCCTGACATGCTGATGAGGAGCTAACTTCTAAACCCTCCTCTCAGACCCAGCATTTATCTGCTTTCTGTAATATACGCTCGGCTCTCATGTGTGACACCTGTGTCCTTATTCTGTACTGGGGTGAGAGGAGGGGAATTATTTATGGGGGAAAGCCAAAAACTCCTGTGACCCAGCTCCTCATGATTTTATACTGAATCAGTGATTCCTCTTCCACTGCGAACTGTTCCACCACAATCCTAAGCCATCCCACTACCCTTGACCAACAATTATTATTTGTTTTTGTTTGTTTGTTTGTTTTTATTTTTTCCGTGCTGGAAAACAAGCCCAGGGCCCAAGCACATACCAATCAAGCGCTCTAGTTACTAAGCTACATGCCTAGCCCACCATGCCTTAAGGTTGATGGTGTCAGGGGCTCTAGAGACGGGCAGTGTGGTTCAAAGCCCACTCTGATACCTGCTAGCCTTGTGGCCTCAGGAAATTCACTCAGTTTCTTCCCTCACTTCGAAAATTGATGTGCAGAATTTTTCTTTCGTACCAGGGATTGAACTCATCATGCTTGCCAGGCAGGCACTTATGCTACTGAGCTAAATCCCCAGGTGATGTGTAGAATAAGGGAGATTTTTTTCGTAAAATGCACAGCATAGCAACCAATTCACGACAAATACTCACTAAATGCTAGTGGTGGAGGTAATTTTGCCATTTTATGACCTGAGCCCCTGAGTGTGATGGCTGGATACAGGCATGCATGCCTTGCCCAAGTTAGGGCAACCACATCCAGTCTCAGGAATCAGGTGATGTGAAACGGAAACCTCAGAGCCTGAGGGGTGACCAGGTAGCAATGTTTGAACCATACTACCCAAATTGCCTTCAGAGGACCAGGGCATCCATATTATCTGGAAACTTGCTACAAGATACATAAACTTAGGCCCCAGGCAGAGCTGTGGATTTGGATTTGCATCTTCGTCAAAGTCTCCAGGTGATTGGTGACCCCATTGTAACTGCAGGCACACGTAGGCAAGAGTCTGCTGTCTTCTTGAAAGAAACTCATTGTTACCTGTGCATGGACAGATACAGGTTTTATGAAATACTCTTGTGGTGGATTAACTTGTAACACCTAGCTGAACTGAGTCAGTGTGGTTCTGGGTATGGGAGGCCACCTGAGGATTGTGGCCAACGCATAAAAGGAGAACTTCAGGGGAAGACTGTTAATTCTCCTGGAGAAGCTTGTCACGCTGGTCTTCCTCATATGAACTCAGCTGTTCTCATTGTCAGAGTTCAGGTCTTCGCAGTCTCTGAGGATGGCTACTGTTCTCTTCAGGGGAGCCCTGGTCCTTACTCTGAGCATCACTTCCTGGCTCCAGTGCAGACCCCTCAGCCTGTTGGCACAGATCTTTTATCCCACTGGTGCAGACTTTCTAGCTTCTACTGCTGACTTTTGAGCCTTCCCAGCGCAGATCCTTGATAGACTTGTATAAGACATTGTCATGGGCTCTAGGCCTCCAGCTGGACTTGTGGAGGACATTGCCATGGATTTGAGGTCTTTAGCTGGACTTGTGCAGGACATTGTGGTGGGAACCAGGGTCCTCAGCTGGATTCTTTGGATCTCTAGTATGTAGGCAGATCTCCCATACTCTTTTGTATTTGACTCTTTGGGTGAATATTATAAAATAATCCTATAAATTATGTATCCTGAATTAAATCTTTACCCTTGTGAAACCCTGACCACAACAACTCTTGACTAGTCCTCTAGTTTTTAAAACTTGAGGTCATTTTAGTGAGTTTCTGCTATTTGTAAACCTCACCTGAGTAGCATTGCACAGTACAACCAGGAAACCTGCAGGTTGCCACAACTTTTCCAGCTGCAAATGTGAGGCAGATCTAAAGTCAGAGGAAGAGTTGGGTCCAAAGTCAACCCTAAAGTGAAAATGTGTCTGCCTAATGTTACACCAGAAAACTGATTAGGAATATGCTGTATTGGAAAGTAATGTGCCACCTCTCACCTCACTGCATGTGGCTGGCTGGGGAATACACCATACTTCCTCCCCAGACTCCCAGCTGAAGTAGTAGCTTCGTATTCATATTAAAGTGGTATGAAAAAGAAAAAAATATTTTTGAGACAAGGTCTGGCTATGTAGTTAAGACTGGCCTTGAACTCACTGTGCAGCCTTGGTTGGCCTTGAATTTGCAGCAATTCTGCCTCAGCCTCCTTAGTGCTGAGATCATAGGTGTGTGCCACCATGGCCAGCAACATTCTTAGTTTAGACATTATGCTATTGTGCAGTGAGATAGCACAGAGGACTCAGAAAGTCAGTGTAGACTTCCCAGACTCCAGCGTCCCTGGGGCACAAGCTCCATGCAGGAACAGGGCAGCCAGAGTCACTTACAGCACTTAATGTGTGTTTTCTTTTCCTCTCAGGCTCTCTGCCTCTGGCATGAATAGTTGACTCTTCAAATGGGAGATACAATCCTTACAAGGCTGAGTGTTAGTGCTCAAATTTTTGTGTACGTAGAACACTCCAGCTCTAGTGTCTTTGGCAGGCCTGTTTTACAGACTCTATATCATAGTAAACAAGCCCACGGGGCTAAGGGTGTAGTTCAGTGGTAAAGTGCTTGCCTAGCATGGACAAGGCCCTAGATAGAATCCCCAGACACCCCCAAATAAATTAAAAAGCCAACAAATAATTAGCACATGACCGTGACTACAGCATAGTGA